TTTTTTCCCAATTTTCCCCCAACTTTCTCCTACAATTCCCAATATTTTTTCCCAAATTTCCTCACTTTCACTATAGGGTTTCCGCGGTTTTTTCCTCAGACACGACAGCACGTAGCGCTCCAGCTCTCTCAACGTCGACGGTTTCAGCGTCTCGAAATCGATTTCGATTTCCTCGGGGTTGGAATCTCTCAGCGAAGGCTCCCGGGATTGGATGATGTGAACGACTCTTCCCAATTTTTCTCCGGGTAATTTATTGATATCCAAACTCAGTTGTCTTTTTTCATCGTAACTCATGGGTTTGGATTCTTCTTCTTCCTCTGAATCCAAAAGCGACGAGGGAGGGGCGGGCAAAGGGGGTTTGGAGGATTTTTTGGAGTTTCTGCCGAAAAAAAATTGAATTTTTTAGGATTTTTTAAAAAATTCCCATTTTTCCAGAGAAATTTGCAATTTCTGTCAAAATCGGAAAAAAAATCGGCCCAAAATTCCCCATTTTCCCCCCAAATTTCTGGGGTTTTTTCCCCCAAAATTCTGGTTTTTTTCACCAAAATTTCCTGATTTTTTTCCCCTCAAAATTCCCAATTTTCCCCCCAAATTTTTTTTAAAAATTCCCATTTTTCCCAATGAAATTCTTGATTTCCGTCAAAATCGGAAAAAAAATCGCCTAAAAATTCCCAATTTTCCCCACAAATTTCTGGGTTTTTTCCCCCAAAAACTTCTGGTGTTTTTTCCCCCAAAAATTATTTTACCTCCAAAATTTTCTCATTTTTCCCCCCCCAACATTCCTAATTCTCCAATTTTCCCCCCAAATTTCTGGTTTTTTTCCTAAAAAACCTCTTTTTTCCTCCAAAATTTCCTCATTTTTCCCCCAAAACTTCCCAATTTCACCCTCAAAATTCCCAATTTTACCCCCTAAAATCCAGATTTTTCCCCCAAAATTCCCATTTTTCTCCAAAATTCCCTGACTTCTCCCCCAAAATTCCCCATTTTTTCCACCCAAAATCCTGATTTTTTCCCCTAAAATACCCAATTTTCCCAAAATTCCCCATTTTTGCCCCCCGAAATTATCAATTTTCACCCCAAAATCCCCATTTTCCCCCCAAAACTTCCCCAAAAATTCCTGTTTTTTTCCTGAAACTCCCAAACATTCTGATTTTTTTTCCCAAAATCCCAATTTTTCCCTCCAAAACCTCCCAAATTTCTTGATTTCCCCAAAATCCTCAAAAAAACCCCAAATGTTCTGACTTTTCCTCCAAAATTCCTGATTCCCTCTCCAAATCCCTTTTTTTTCCCCCCAAAACCCCCAAATTCCAGATTTTCCGCCCACAATTCCCAATTTTCCCCAGAATTCCAATTTTTCCTTAAAAATCCCCAATTTACCCCTCCAGAAATCCCAATTTTGCCCCAAAATCCCCAATTTTTCCCCCTAAAATCCCCATTTTTTCCTC